ATGTCTGGGATTTCCTCTACAAAATTCGACATCATGAAGTTCGACGGAACTGAGAATTTCGGATTATGGCAGAGGAGGGTGAAGGACCTGTTAGTGCAGCAGGGCATGGTGAAGGCATTATACGGAAAACAACCGGCAGGAATGGACGACATGGATTGGAAAGAATTGGAAGCGAAGGCTGTGGCGACTATTAGGCTTTGTCTGGCTGATGAAGTGATGTATCACGTCATGGATGAGGAATCACCGGCGGAAGTTTGGTTGAAACTGGAAAGTCGGTATATGTCCAAGTCGTTGACGAACAAGCTCTATCTTAAGCAGAAACTATATGGTCTTAAGATGTCAGAGGGCTCGGATTTGACCCAACACATCAACGTGTTCAATCAGATCATCAGCGATCTGAAGCGAGTTGATGTGAAGTTCGAAGACGAAGACAAGGCACTGATGTTGCTGAATTCCCTACCGGCGTCTCCTACGTACGAGAATTTGGTTACGACTCTGATGTGGGGGAAAGAAACCCTCGAATTGGAGGATGTCACAGGTGCTCTGTTAGGTTTTCATCAGCGGAAGAAAGCCAGTGATGAGGCTTCACAAGGTGAAGGGCTTGTGGTGAAAGGTAACCAGGAACGTGGAAGAAGCAAATCTCGGAATGGATCGGGTAACAATAAAGCCCGGTCCAAGTCGAGGAAGAAGAAGAAGGACGTCTCTGTCTCGTGTTACAAGTGCGGGAAAAAGGGGCACTTTAAACGGGACTGTCCAGAGAAAAAGAAAGGGGATTCAGAGAACAAAGAGGGTGCATCAAAGTCTGCAAACGTAGTGGAAGAAGAAGATTCAGAGAGTGGTGACGGAGATATGCTTTCTGTTTTATCTAGTTCAGATCGTTTAACAGATTCTTGGATTATGGATTCAGCATGTTCCTATCACATGACACCCAACAAAGATTGGTTTGACACCTACAGGTCAGTAAATTCTGGTTCTGTTCTGATGGGTAATGATGCATCTTGCAAAGTTGTTGGAATAGGAAATATTAGAATTAAGATGTTTGATGGTATGGTTAGAACGTTGTGTGATGTTAGACATGTACCGGATCTAAGGAAGAATTTGATTTCATTGGGCACTTTGGATTGTAATGGTTATAGTTACAAATCTATAAGTGGAGTAATGAAAGTAAGTAAAGGCATGCTGACAGTGATGAAGGGACAGAAAGTAGTAGGAAACATTTACAGACTGCTGGGTACTACAATTGTAGGTGGAGTTGCTGCTGTAGAGTCTGAATCAGATAATACAGTCTTGTGGCATATGCGGCTGGGTCATATGAGTGAGCGTGGGATGATAGAGCTTCATAAGAAAAATCTATTGAAGGGTGTCAAGACATGCAAGCTCAATTTTTGCAAATATTGTGTTCTTGGAAAACAGAATAGGGTGCAGTTCAAGACAGCCACACACAAGACAGAGGGGGTTCTCGACTATGTCCATACAGATGTTTGGGGACCAGTTAGCGTACTATCACGGGGAGGATACATGTATTTCGTGAGTTTCATTGATGATTACTCACGAAAGGTCTGGGTGTACTTCATGCGGCACAAGTCAGAAGCGTTTGCCAAGTTCAAGCTGTGGAAAGCTGAAGTAGAGAACCAGACAGGGAGGAAGATTAAATGCCTCAGGTCAGATAATGGTACTGAGTACACAGATTCAAAGTTCCAGGAGTTGTGTGAGCAGCATGGGATCAAGAGACACTTCACAGTCCGCAAGACACCACAACAAAATGGTGTAGCGGAAAGGATGAACAGAACGATAGCCGAGAAAGCTCGGTGTCTCAGGTTGAATGCAGGGCTTGCAAAGAATTTCTGGGCAGAGGCAGTGAATATGGCATGTTTCTTGATTAACAGATCACCGAGGGCAGCACTAGATGGGAAAGTATCAGAGGAGGTGTGGACAGGCAGTGAGGTAGACTACTCTGGTTTGAGAGTGTTTGGATGTCCAGCCTATGTACATGTTTCTAGTGAGGAGAGGTCGAAGCTTGATGCGAAGTCTAGACAGTGTATCTTTCTGGGATATCAGAAAGGAGTGAAAGGCTTCAAGCTCTGGGATCCGAAGGCAAACAAGATGGTGATCAGTAGAGATGTGGTTTTTGATGAAAAAGCCATGTTGCAGCGTACTCAGGAAGAAGAGAAACAAGTACCAGAAAACTGTAGCACTAATGACCATGTGGTGCAGGTGGAGCTAGAGAATCATGGTAGAGAAGAGGATGCTCAGCATGTAGAGCGTTCTATCTCAGGTGATCAACAGCATCATAGTATAGCCACAGACAGGCCCAAACGCAATATCAAGCCACCTACCAGGTATGGTTTTGAAGATTTGGTTTCTTATGCGCTTATTACTAGTAGCGGGGATCCTACAACTTTTTAGGAGGCAGTACAAAGTCAAGAGAAAAGTAGATGGAAGGGTGCTATGGTGGAGGAGATG